CCTTCTGTTACCTCTAGATATGATAACCAAAACACTCATAAAATGTTAAACAGAACAGACCTAAAATACAGTGCCAGCATACCATTTGCTTCATGCTGACATTAAACAATTAAGGTCCACTCTGCATACTAGAAATGAGGTAAGTGTTTGACGAATGAATGTGTGATCTGCTTCTTTGGGGGCATGCTTGTGCAGTCAACCAAGAAGGCATCTAATTATGGCTCTCATCCAGCCCACCTTTCTCCATCCTGGATACTCCAAGCATGTCTGATTTGGGCTGGTTTTTAATATTTAACCAAAATGAAACGTCTTCTGCCAGTGTACTGCACAGATCTTCTTCTTTAGTGATGTAATAAAACTGGAAAGGGATTGGTGAATCAAGACTTTGAGAATTCTTGCCATGTCCTAGTGATGTCTGCCTTCACGTCCGGGTCTCCTGTCTCCTAAATGGTCATATATACAGTTTTTCCAGTCCCAGCACAAGCTCTTTCTGTTCTTCCTCCTCTTAAGGCTGTCACTGTGCTCCCATTTGTGCATAGACACACACGCCAGACAGTCATGAGTTCGCTCTAACAGAGAAACACAGGATTGAGGGTGTAGGCAGAAAAACCCAGTTTATTGCCATAGCCTTGGAATGCATTTTTAGGACTTCATCTATCAAATTCTAGGAGCGTCTTCCGTTCCGAGCAGTTGGTTGTTATTTACAGGATTTGGAGTCAGTGGGCATATATTCCCACATTTCCAGCACGGAAGCATCTCATTTTCCTATCTCTTCTCAAACAGTTTGAATCCATGGTAATAGCAAAAGGATTTTTGAAACTAAATTATAGCAAAAATGTAAATGTGGGGCGTACTTTGTTAAATTTTGTTTTTCTTCCTGAAGATGATTCGAAATGTGTATAAAATTTATGATAATAGCCTTTTTAAAGTATGTTTCTCTATAGTTTTGTAAAGAGCCAGGAGAAAAACATGATTTATTTAGAGTTATATTGGGTTTAGATGACCCCAAAGAAACCGGCTGAGCTACACCTAAATATCAGCTATTTTATCTCCAAGGTTCCATCAACTCTATTTACATACAGCACCTAGTTTGGTTTCCCAGTGCCTGCTCTATTAGAAAGCAGCGAGAGATGTTTAGTTTGCGAAAGAGTTTAGGAGTAAAAAATTTAATCTTATACTAGAATTTTTCATACCTTACACTGTGTATGAATCATCTGAAGATCTTGCTAAAATGCAGATTCTGAATAGTAGGTCTTGGTGTGGCCTGAGATTCTGCATTTCTGACAAGTTTTCAGGGGATGCTGATATTACTGGTCTGAGGACCACACTTTGACTAGCAAGTCCTTGTGCCATTGGGCTAGATTTTAAAATACTGACAAAGAAATAGATATAAATGCTGATATAAAGATGATTAAGATGAATTTATTCAGAACAGTGATTAGCAGGCAAACCATGGGTAGTAAACTCCAATAAATTTGTCTTGATTCATCCATTACCTCTCCCTCCACTTTCCCTTTTCCAGTAACAATATTTAAACAGTGTGGTCTGCATAGGTGGTTCTCTGCAAACTTAGCATTTGTATTATTGTGCATGTCTCCATGTTTCGAAGAATTCTTTCTGTGTGGCAGATGCTCCAACTCCTTGGGCATTTCTCAGAGGGCAATTCAGCACACAGAAAGAGACCCTAAAAGCAGAAATCTCACTCTTTTTTTCTTCTTTCTTATGCCTTTTCCTCTTCCTTCAATTTCTTACACTACTTTCCACCTTCCTAAGTTTTTCTCCGTGTTCTTTCATTCCATGAGTAATCTTCCAAAATACCGGGGCATGGTGGCACCCGCTGGTGGTTTGCTGGAAGTACAGCAAGACCTAATCCCTACCCTCATGTTTCCCCTGATATAGACAATACAGAAAGCTAATGGGGTGCAGAGAAGAGGCACATACCGCAGGATTAGGGAGTCCTGTCTCTTCGCTGCTGCACTGGTAAATAGTCCTTTTATTAATAAATGTAGGAGGAGGATGCGTGGAAATTTTTATCAGTTTGTCCCGTTTCACTCAGTTTCTCTGTCGACCTTTGTATCCTTGATTTATCATTGGCAATCTATGAGAAAAATGCTGTTTATCAATGGATAACTTTTCAGAAGAATCAATTTGAATTTGTGGGTTAAGGCCAATATGTCTTAGTAGTCCATTAGCAGAAGACCAGCCCCTGTTTCCCAAGTAAACAGTATAAATAAGCCTCTGCACTGCTGAGAACCATTCTTTTCCAAAGTTAGCATTCTTTTTCAAAGTTACTAAAGCTGGGCTCTTTGAGGAGTACTTTCAGAGGAGTTTTCTAGTTTTGTATATTGTGCATTCAATTGTACAGGCAATTTTACATTTGCATTGCTAATAGACCTGTTCCTGAATGTGTTTGACATTTTACTTGGCTTTGAAAGGACTTTTATGCTGCTGCTTTTTCTTCCCTAGAACTGCCTTGGGCTAATTAACCTATTCCCTTACTGGCTGGGCCTACTATATGCAAATATTCTCATTTCAGATTCTGACATATCACTCTTGCATGAACACCCCTAATGAAATCCTGTGGCGTTTTATTGGATCAGTGCCGCACTAGAACCAGCAGGGGGCGCATGGAACTGTTCTGTTTGAGTAGATCCCATGAGTGAATTTTCCTTGCTGGTTGTAATGGGAATATGGGAGCTTTTGTAGTTCCCTTTCTTTTTTTTTTTTTTTTTTCTTTGTTTTTTATTGAGACAGAGTCTTCACTTTGTCTCCCAGGCTAAAGTGCAGTGGCGTCTTCATAGCTCACTACAACCTCAAACTCTTGGACTCAAGCAAGCCTCCTGCCTCAGCCTTCCAAGTAGCTGAGACTACAGGTGCATACCACTAGCCCGGCTAATTTTTGTATTTTTAGTAGAGATGATGTCTTGCTCTTGCTCAGGCTGGTCTCAAACTCTTGACCTCTAGCAATCCTCCTGCCTCGGCCTCCCAGAGTGCTAGGATTACAGGTGTGAGACACCATGCCCAGCCTAGTTCTGTTTTTTAAGAGTAACCCTTGAAATCTAAAGAGAAAGGATAATTACAAATAATTTTCAGGCAGCCAAATGGGGCAACGTTTTTTGATGCTTTCGTAGTTTAATTTTATTGTTATTGTAATTGATTCACAAATATTGGCTATAAATTATGTGCTAAGCTCCTTGTAAGAGAAGGCTGTACAGAACACAGTTATTTGGCGCTTATGAAAGCCCTGACATTACTCCCTGGATCCTGGCAGTTCTTCATTTCTTTAGCATTAATGTTTTAGGTCTTTTTATTTTTGGTTTCCAGTCCTGCCTTTAAGTGCTTCTCTTATCATATGAGAAATCCTATGCTTATTTGGAATTGTCCTTTTATATTGAGACATCAAATTTCTAAACTTTCACCTTCCTATATACCTGATCAAAATCATTAAGGATGGGAAACTTTCTTTTGTGTCATTTGTCATTTCATTGTGATGTTTGTTGATGATGTTGAAGCAAAACCAAATCATTGTTTCCCCCCCCAAAAAAAGTCATAAATTAGGGGGAGCAGAGGAGAGAAAGGGGAGGTTGTGTTACAATAGGGACCTCACTGTTGCTTCAGCATGGGCAAGGATTGAACGCTGAAGGGCTGCTGCCTTATTATGTTTGTTTTAAAACTGATCATTCAGAAGAAGGTCTGAGTATGAGAAATGCCAAAACTCGAGGGCCTGGATCTCCCAAAACCCAATCCTGCCACCCTCGGGATCATAGCACACTACGTTGCTCACACCTGCAGCCAGTACCTATGGGGCACTCACTTTTGCTGCTTGTTGGCGTGGTTCACGTTGGTTCCAATGACGTTCTGCCTTTTGCCAGTTGGGTATTGGTTTGCCCACACAGTAGTGATAACTCAGAGTTCAGTGGTTACCAAGGGACCAAGACACCTGTCCATAAGAACTGGCTCCAGGGTCACTGTTCATTATGTTCAGGTTTGAACACACAGGTCTGATTCGTCTGAAAGAGAGGGGTCATCTCTAGTGTTAATGGTGAGTTGGCCCTTTCTAAGGAGAAAGTGGGGGGATGGTATGAAGGGACAATTCAAAGACAACTGGGACAGGAAGAAAATAAGACAGGGAGGAAGCAGGTGTGTAACTCTTGTTAAGGAAACTTTAATGCATCCGCCCTATTATTGTATCCTACTTGGGTTTTTGTAACTGTAATCTAATTCATTTTGTTAACTGTCTCATTCTGTAACCATGTGAGTGGCTGTCCTGGGAATTCTTTGGAAACTTGTAGAGAACAGGATTATTTTTGGCTGCCTTTGCTGAATTTGGGCGTGTGTGTGTGTGTGTGTGTGTGTGTATGTGTGTGTGGATTAAGGAAGAGGAAATCGTTATACATCCAGTATGGACTCAGAACCAGGTGGAACCTTCGAGAGTAGTGGCTCTGGGCATATGAGGATTCAGAAATATAACGAGTGAGGATGCTCAGGACGTTAGCTCCTAACTGCTCCTTCGCAGTGCCTGGCACTGGGGGCACGCTCCTGCTGGCGTCATTCCCTCCCCGCTCCACCCATGGGCTTCATTCCCTTTTCCAGCCAGGTAAAGAAGAGGTGAGGAATGGAGCCAGCATTTATGAAAAGAAAAATTAAGAAATGCATCATCTACGGTCTAAGAAAAAGAGGGGGAAAAAACAGAAGATGGTATTGACTGTGTCTTAGGGGACTTGTTAACTCCATAAAAAGCGTATGCTTTAAAGTTTTGATGTGCTCAGTGTCTTAATAGCCTTCCTTCACGATGTGCCAGCCCACATGGCTAGTGTCTAATCTGCTTTAAGGCTAGGGCTATAATCGGGTTTTTGGAATTCACATTGAATCCGGAGACCTAGTCTTAATCTTGCCAAGTGTTTTTTTTTCCCCAGTGCTGATATTTTGATTTCCTTTCCCTCCTTCCCTTTCTCCTCCCTTTCCTCTTCCCCTTGTCACTGCCCTCTTCCTCTTCCCAGAATCCAGAGCTGCTGTTGGCGGATTGTACCCACGGGGAGATGATTCCTCATGAAGAGCCTGGATCCCCTACAGAAATCAAATGTGACTTTCCGTTTATCAGACTAAAATCAGAGCCAGCCAGACAGTGAAACAGTCACCGTGGAGGGGGGACGGCGAAAAATGAAATCCAACCAAGAGCGGAGCAACGAATGCCTGCCTCCCAAGAAGCGTGAGATCCCCGCCACCAGCCGGTCCTCCGAGGAGAAGGCCCCCGCCCTGCCCAGCGACAACCACCGGGCGGAGGGCGCGCCATGGCTCCCAGGCAACCCTGGTGGCCGCGGCCATGGGGGTGGGAGGCACGGGCCGGCGGGGACCTCGGCGGCGGAGCTTGGTTTACAACAGGGAATAGGTTTACACAAAGCATTGTCCACGGGGCTGGACTACTCCCCGCCCAGCGCTCCCAGGTCTGTCCCGGCGGCCACCACGTTGCCCACGGGGTACCCTCCCCCGCAGTCAGGGACTCCAGTGTCCCCCGTGCAGTACACTCACCTGCCGCACACCTTCCAGTTCATTGGGTCCTCCCAGTACAGCGGGCCCTACACCGGCTTCATCCCGTCACAGCTGATCTCCCCGACGGCCAACCCGGTCACCAGCTCGGTGGCCTCGGCCGCGGGGGCCGCCACTCCATCCCAGCGCTCCCAGCTGGAGGCCTATTCCACCCTGCTGGCCAACGTGGGCAGCCTGAGCCAGGCACCGGGACACAAGATTGAGCCGCAGCAGCAGCACCTCGGCAGGGCTCCGGGGCTCATCACGCCGGGGTCCCCGCCCCCCGCCCAGCAGAACCAGTACGTCCACATCTCCAGTCCTCCGCAGAGCGCCGGGCGCGCCGCCTCTCCCCCGGCCATCCCCGTGCACCTGCACCCGCACCAGACGATGATCCCGCACGCGCTCGCGCTGGGGCCCTCCTCCCAGGTCGTCGTGCAGTACAGCGACTCCGGCGGCCACTTCGTCCCCCGGGAGTCCGCCAAGAAGGCCGAGAGCAGCAGGCTGCAGCAGGCCGTGCAGGCCAAGGAGGTCCTCAACGGCGAGATGGAGAAGAGCCGGCGGTACGGGGCTCCGTCCTCGGCCGACCTGGGCCTGGGCAAGGCGGGCAGCAAGTCGGTCCCGCACCCGTACGAGTCCAGGCACGTGGTGGTCCACCCGGGCGCCGCGGACTACGGCGGCCGCGACCCTGCGGGGGTCCGGGCCTCGGTGATGGTCCTGCCCAACAGCAGCACGCCCGCGGGCGACATGGAGGTGCCGCACGCCCCGCACCGGGAGGCCTCCCCCTCCACCCTCAACGACAAGAGCGGCCTGCACTTAGGGAAGCCCGGCCACCGGTCCTACGCGCTGTCACCCCACACGGTCATCCAGACCACACACAGCGCCTCCGAGCCACTCCCGGTGGGACTGCCAGCCACAGCCTTCTACGCGGGGACCCAACCCCCTGTCATCGGCTACCTGAGCGGCCAGCAGCAAGCAATCACCTACGCCGGCAGCCTGCCCCAGCACCTGGTGATCCCCGGCACGCAGCCCCTGCTCATCCCGGTCGGCAGCGCGGACGTGGAAGCGTCGGGGGCAGCCCCTGCCATCGTCACATCGTCCCCCCAGTTCGCTGCAGTGCCTCACACCTTCGTCACCACGGCCCTTCCCAAGAGCGAGAACTTCAGCCCCGAGGCCCTGGGCACCCAGGCCGCCTACCCGGCCATGGTGCAGGCCCAGATCCACCTGCCCGTGGTGCAGTCGGTGGCGTCCCCCGCGGCGCCCGCCCCCACGCTGCCCCCCTACTTCATGAAAGGCTCCATCATCCAGCTGGCCAACGGGGAGCTGAAGAAGGTGGAAGACTTAAAAACGGAAGACTTCATCCAGAGTGCGGAGATCAGCAACGACCTGAAAATCGACTCCAGCACGGTGGAGAGGATCGAGGACAGCCACAGCCCGGGCGTCGCCGTGATACAGTTCGCCGTCGGGGAGCACCGAGCACAGGTAATGTTGGCGCAGGTGGGGGGACGCCCCACCGCAGCGCTGTTGGCCTTTCCTGGCAGGATGCCTTGCTTCTCTGAGGCAGCATGAGGGTTCTCATTTATATCTGGACCTTAGACTCAGCCTGTTGGGATCATGTTCTCCAAGAACATGAAGCCCTGCTTCCCCATGGCATATGTCGTTTGTAATGAATTAACCTCTGTGCATCCAGAAGTGGGGCGAGTTATGTACTCCCCTTGGGACAATTTGGAAAATCCGACCAAGGACCCCAATTGAGAAAGGCTGCGACCATTCTAGTGGTCATTCTGCTCTTTTTCTTACCAGGAAAAGATAGAGGGCACTGTCAGGGTAAGGACATTAGATGCTGAAGCCATCACATCCCATTATAACACCTGTGTTTTAAAATACAGGTTGCATTAGCCAGGTGTGGTGACATGCACCTGTAGTCCCCGCTACCCGAAAGGCTGAGGTTCAAGGATCACTTGAGCCCGGGAGTTCTGGACTGTAGTGGGCTATGCCACTCTAGTGTCTGCAATATGTTTGGCATCAATATGGTGACCTCCTGGGAGTGGGGGACCACCAGGTTGCCTAAGGAGAGGTGGCCAGGTTGGAAATGGAGCAAGTAAAAGCTCCTGTGCTGATTGTTAGTGGGATCGTGCCTGTGAATGGACATTGTACTCCAGGCTGGGCAACATAGCAAGACCCCATCTCTAAAATGTCTATATATGTCTTATTATTTAGGTGTGGCAAGGCCAACAGAACAGGAGATGACTTGAAAAGATAGTCTGTTATATATACCTCTGATCCCAAGAAAAGGTGGCACACCATGCCATGGGGGTGGGTACCAGGGGGAAGCACCAGGTCACTCAGGAGGCAGAGTGAGTGAGGGGAACCCACAGACAAGAGCCTTTCCTTTGCTTCTGTGGGAAGGAATGGGGGAGACAGGATAAGAAGCTTTAGGATTGGCTTGTGGGAATAATTGTGCTGGGCTGCTGGGCAAAGGGACTGTCCCTAGTTGTCTGGCAGCTGGCCTGCAGTGATTAGGACAGGTGGATAGTGACCCTGAGAGTGACAGACCAATGTGGGAGGTGATTAGAGCATGGGCTGTGGATTGGTGGGCTCACATATGAAGGGCAGACTTCCCATGGAGTGGTGCGCTATTTCTAGGAATTAGCCAATCTTAGCAGGGGCAGTCCCTCCAGGGACAGCAAGGCCCTAAAATGTCAAAGCATCAGAAAATAAAAGGCATAGCTAATACAATCTGAAAAGTCAGGCCTGTCCCAAGTGACCTGCTGGACTTGTAGTAAAGTCAGCTGAGTCACGTTAAAACTGGAGGAATGATGAACTCTCAGTTTCTGCAGGCTCCTCAATCCACCCTTTCTGAGGCTCCTTACATCACTTGCACACATTTATTCCAAAGCCCATTTATATCACTGCCCAAGGTGCTGGGAGTCAAACAGGTTTGGCCTCCAGCTGGGAACTTCGCTGGCCTGACCACTCTCTGGAAATGCTTCCATCGAGGACTTTAAAACGCTAGAATAGAACAGAACCTCCTTCAGGTTTGAGTTGAAAACAATCATGGAATAGCTGCTATTGGGGACATTCAAAGAAAATGAAACAAGCAAAAAAGATAAACTAGTCACTGGTTTGAATTGCTTTGAGCATTTTTTTTAAGAGACCAAGTGCAAGAGGGACAAAATCAGTGTTCTGAAGTGTTTTCCAGAACTGCTCGTGAATGACTAAATGTGGAGTCTTGCCCAAAGCCAGGGGCCTGCCGTTACAGAGAGCCGTTAGCCCTGCATACTTATCTTTGTTACTGTGATACATTACTGTGGTCTTACAGTCTTTGGGAAGCCCAAGAAAGATTTCTCAAAAGTTCTGATTTTAATAAAAGCAAATATCAGGATTATTTTTTTACTTTGGGAAGCCCAAGAAAGATTTCTCAAATGTTCTGATTTTTAAAAAAGCAAAAATCAGGATTAATTTTTTTTAAAAGAATGCCATCGTTATGTAGAACTCGCCACCCATCTCTGGTTTCTGCTACTTCCTATGTGAAATATAGGGGTGGGTATTAGCAGAGAGAAAGTTAATCGCCTTGAGCAAAGTTGACTCTTCACTGGCCCCAAGTGAAGCATAGAAATAAACAGGAGTGAAGAATAATTGTGCTTTCCATGACACCTTGAATCCTTAAAAACATCATTGTGAACGGAGGCAGGTAGGGAATGAGGTTTTGTTTTGAAATGCGACTGGTTCCTGACCGCAGTCTCTGCCAGGCTGTGAGAGCTCCACAGCCCTATTCAGTTCTTGGAAAGGAAGAATCTAGATGAGATTACCCGTGCCTAGAACTTTGCAAAGTGAACGCTTAAATGACAGAGTTTGGCTCCCTGTGCAGTCAGAGCTCTGTTCTCATCTCTTTCCCGTAGCTAGAACACTGAGTCTCTTTGCTGACAGGCAGGGTACAAATGAGCAGGTAGGAGGTTTGCCCGGGCCTGTTGGCAGGTCTGTCGGGGTGGCCCCTGTGTGGCTGTGCAGTGTCCCCAGGAGGGCTTCTGCAAAGACAGCCAAGAGGGCTGAGGTCTGCTGAAGAGGCAGCTTAGGTTGCATGTCATGAAGACAGACGTGCAAGACCCCGACACAGCCAGAGATTTGTCACTTTGCCGAGGAGCCTATCAGAAATCAGCTGACATCATCACAGCTAAAATACTGCACTAGCTGTGCTTACCAGGAGTGACAGGTTCAGAGTCAGTAGAGAGTCAGAGAAAGAGAGAAATTGGGGTGGTGGAGGGGAAAGGAGAGGGAGAGAACTAACATCTGGACTAAAATGAGGTTCCAAGGGCTGCATCCTTCTCTCCCCTGTGGGTGCCTGTGTGGGGAGCAGTCCCCTCTGGCCTGAAGAATCATCCAGGTCTTCTCAGCTGGCTAGGCATCACTAACACTTGCCTCCACAGGGAAATTTAGAAATGTGCACATTGTTGAACCTAATTAGCAAAAAATCACAAATTTGGTTGGGGAAGTTATGGAAGGTTTAGGAACTTAGGAATGGTTTTCTACAAGACAGATGGCTTCGTGACCCTGGGCATAAATCCTGCGTGAACAGAAGAGTCTCGGAATGCCTGACTTCATAAGCCCTCCCAAGGTCACTCCCGTGGGGTGTGGTGGGGTGTACTAGGGAGACAGCCTGGGGCCCGGCTTCTGATCTGTGGCAGGACAAGGTGTTTCGCCTCTCTGAGCTGCGGTTTCTCTCGTCTCTAAAACAAGCAAGTGATTCTTTATACAATGAAATCTCCTGAGCCTCCTCAGTTTTTTGATCTTTCACCTTTCTACCTTCCAGAATGGCCCTTGTAAAATTTACTGGCATCCGCTCACCAAAAACCAAGGGGGGGATTAAGGAGAACCTTCACTGACCTCATGCTGATCAGCACATAGACCTAGTAGTGGACTAAAGTCATCCCATGAAAAATTGAAGGGGTTTTACCTTGGTGATTATTTTTACAGAGCTGAATTTCTAAGTATTAGAGTGGAAAGATGCCTCCAATGTTGTCCTGGCTGACGCTCTAAAAGAGGCAGTGTAGGAGGAAAATGCGTTCCCGTATTTGTCACCGTCCCTGTGGCTTTGCCATCCTCAGTGCAGCATTTCTCTGCACAGGCAAAGCATCTTCGCACTCCCAGCCTCCCCCCAGCCCAGGTGCTGTGGATTCCAGGGGAGCAAAGGGAACTCCAGGTGGTGTCCATTATCACTCCTCTTTGGGGAGAGAACAATAGCACATTCAGCTCCAGATGGGAGAAATACTGCTTTGCCATGCTTGATTCTGGTTGAGAGCCCCAAAGGACAACAGAATCACTTAACCCGGGCCTCACTCCCCCAAATAATCCACTTTATATGCTCCAAGTTTGAGACCGTAAGTCTGCAGCAAGTCCCGGATGGGACTCTCGGGCAATAGCATCAACATGGGAGCCAGTGCCACTCCGGAGAAGGATGGGGCATCACACATTCTTGGGTGGGAAGTAGGAAAATGTAGGAACTGGAGCCAGAAAGAGAATCCAAGTCTGAGCCTATTCTCTACCGGTCAGTAGCACTGGGACTGGGTGCAAAATCAGTTTTTCCTTCCCTGCTACAGCTTAGGTGACTTTAGCCCTGAGAGGAGAATGGTTCGCTTCTGAAGAATAAATAAAAGCCCTCATACTCTTAAAAGAGTTTATGGGAGGAGAGATAGTCTATGAAAACCTAGGAAGAAGATGAACTTTTCCAATGAGCATAACAAGCTGTTTTTACACTCCCTGTGTTCTCCTGGCATAGGAGAACCATCACTGCTATTTCCGTCACTGAGACTAAATGACCTAGCGCCAGCCCGAGTGAGCGTGTACATAGCGTCTCCTTTTCTGAGTATGAGCTGGACTTGGGGGGGCTGGTGGTCCAGCCCTCCAAATGAGTAAGAGAACTAGTGAAAAAACAGGGACTCATGTATTTTCTGCAGAAGGGGTGTTAGCAACATGCCCACTGGGAGAGCCCCTACCCAGTATGGCCCCACCTGGGGACCTTTGGCTTCTGTCTGGCATGCAGGGTTGGTTCTGTCTTACAAGCAGCCTTCCCATCCCTCTGTCTCACGCTCCCTAGATTCAGCTTTTCCGAAGAGTATTTGCTCAGTACAGTTGTAGTAAAATTTATTTGTGAAGTGCTCTGGGCTGACACTTTCCTTTGACTGCTTCTTTTCCTAAATGCCAAGCTCCGTATGGTATTAGGGCTGTCTGTCGCTTCCCAGATCCTGCCGGGGTGACTGTTTCCCTGACTTACTTGGTAGCTGCTTAATATTCAGTGCCATTTTCTTCTCCCAACTGTCCTGGTGTGAGTGTGGGTGTGTGTGTGTGTGCGTGCGTGCTCGTACGGTGTGTTGTAACGATGTACTTCCTGCAGGTCTACTAATGGCTTTTCTTTCATTCCACTATTTTTTTAATGTGACTGCTGCGGACTGTGAGTCATCGGTGGCAGCATTATGCATTGAATG